GAGACTGGGCTACTGCAGCACGCTCAGCTTGGGGCTATCCTTGAAGATTGTTCAAGAGCTTCAGCTAGTGCCGAATGCTTCAGCTAGACTGCTGGTGGGGGCCAGCTACTGGGAGCCTATGACCAGTGTTCCCTCTAAGCTGAGTGAGTGTGAGCTAGCTCACAGTTTTTTAGCCTCTGGCTCACACACTTTTGTCTTAGTTCAGGAAGGAGGGCTCCAGAGCAAACTAATTTATGCAGTGGCCAAATCGCTCACTCACAAGTTTAATGCCAGTAGCTCACAAAGTAGGATTTTTGTTCACAAGATTGCACAGCTTAGAGGGAGCGTTGCCTATGACCCCAGTATTACAGCAATTACACTGGCTACTGATCTGCTCCCAAGCCCAATGCAAGGAGTTGGTTTTGACCGTTAAAGTCCTATGTGGCTTGGAACTGGGGTATCTGAAGAACTACCTTCTCCCATATGTTCCTGCCCAGGAACTAAGATCACAGGGAGAGGCCCTCCGGACAGTCCCATCAATCAAATAAGCTCATCCGATGGGCACACGAAACAGGGCCTTTACAGTGGCAGCCCCACGACTACAGAACCACCTCCCTAGGGAAGGTGTGCCCGGGGGCCCCTCACTGTCGATCTTCAGGGGGCAGCTGAAGACAGTTTTATTGGATTAAGTTACTAGCTGTCCTAAATTACTGTTTGACATTTTTGTTTTTTATGTATTTTATACATTCTGTACATTTATTTGGTTGTCACTCTGTTAACAACCTGAGGTGTCTGTCACTCTGTTAACAACTACTGGCTATTGCCAGGAACCTCCCACCAACCAGGGAATATTTTTTTTGTTATTAGCTGTGACCACCATTTTGAATGAATGAATGAATGAATGAATGAATGAATGAATGAATGAATGAATGAATGAATGAATGAATGAATGAATGAATGAATGAATGAATGAATGAATGAATGAATGAATGAATGAATGAATGAATGAATGTATCTGTTCTATGTATTTCACCTGTATTTATCTATGCTGTACGCCACCTTAAGCTCTGTTAGGAAGCAAGGCAAGGTAGCTCAGGAATGTTTTTTAAAAAATGAGCTGCATAAGAGGTGGGAGGGGGCTTCAGACAAGAGGCGGGCCCTGTAAAGAGGCCAAAGTCTTTCCGGTCCACACAGGTACCTCAGCAGAGTGGAAAGCAAAAGCCCAGGGAAGCCCAGTAGAAAAGCAGCCCAGGTCAGGCTGGGTGGAAACTTTGGGTCTCCTTGCCTCAACCGGGACCCAGCCCACCTTCATCCCAACAGACTGGGATAGGGGCCACTCTTGCTGAGCCCGCGGGCACCTTTGGAACGGAAATAACTGGGAATGGGTGCCAACACAAAATGGCTGCCCTGGAGGGCTGGGGCCAGTCAGAAAATGGCTTTCATGAGGCACTGGGGCCACTCGCAACATTTTGGGAAGTTGCACACCAAGCACCTTCCTGCTACGAAGACAGCTGTTTCAAGGTTTGGCTTTGGGAAAGAAATGCACGGGGGGGGGCCACAGGAAACCCAATGGTGGGCACCATGGTTCCTATGGGAGCCACATTGGGGATGCCTGCAATCAGGGGTCATTTCCTGCAGGAGCGCACAGGAGCGGAGCTCCGGCAGTAAAGAGCCCAGGGGGCGGGCACGTGTAGCAAGCGCCGCCCACTGCTCCCAGCAGCCCTCAGTCAGAGCAAGAAGCAGCCAGGTAACTTGCAGAGGCTCCCTCCAGCCCCCAGGCCCAAAACAGTCTAGTGGCACCTTTAAGGCCAAGTTTTATTCAGGTACAAGCTCTCCCTCCTCTGCGAGGACAGATCTGCATGTCCCCGTCCCCCCCATAGCTAGCAATCCAACACAGTCCAGTGGAGCCTGAGCGGTGGGTGTTGCCTTCTGACACACTTCCGGTGATGTCAGGGAGCCACATTGGGGACGACTACAAGAGACCCTGAAGGCCATGAAACCCCAAAGAGTCCTGCGGGGAACGATGCCGGTGGAGAAGATGGCTCTGCTAGCAGGCCCCGGGAACCAGATGAGCGCCCCGTTCCCCATGTCCTGGGAACCCAAGAGAAGAGGAGGCCTGGGCACCCCACCGGCGGCAGACCTTGCTGGCATGAAGGCGGCACTCGGAGATGAAGACGGTGCTGGCCCCTTTGAGGGACCAATGGAGCTTCTTGAGGCCCGGCTGGATCTTCCGGTCAAGGTAGCGGATGCGCTCTCGGAAGAGGCCCCTCTCCTCCGCGGTCAGCATGCTGATGATTCTGGGGAGGCAGGCAAGGCGGCAGGCGTGAGGCCCGGCCACAGACCCGGCCCTGCCTCCCCCTCCACACCGGGCCCAGCCAAAACCTCGCGGATTCTGCCAAGATCGCAGCGGAACACGCATTATGCAAAGTTCAATTCAGCCGCAGGCATCCGATTTGCATAAATCGGTTCTGATTGCAGGCTTCAGGCGGAGGGGCTGTGGCAGATTTCGAAGGATACAACACGCATTCAGGCTCACTTAAGCAGGATTAGTTATCCCTACTTGTCTTTTAACCACCCGGCCGTACAGCAGGTCTCCCCCCCCCGCCCAACCTTCCTTCCCTGTGATGGGAGATCAGAACTTGGGGGTGGTATGAATTTGGTTCTGGCTACAAGGGAGGCTGTCTCCCTGTGAATGCAGATAGCGGTCCTCGATCAGGATCTGGCTTCTAAAGCCCAGGACAGCTCAACCGTCCCCAAAAAAACAACCGGGAGGGATTTGTCGAGGATGGGCTCCAGTGCAGGCCCCCGTTTCTCTCCCGCGGCACCAGCTTGGTCTCCAATTAATTCCCAAGTGGAAAGACGCCAGCACAAAAGGAGTGCTTACACTTGTGTCATGATAAAAAATACAGCTGCCAAGACAAAGCTCGTTTCGAACAACACTCTCTTTGTAGAGAAACGCCTCCATGTCACACTTCAGAAAATACTGTGGCAAAGCAAAGAGAGAGGCGCACCCCCCCACACACGCACACACATGCCAAACACACCTTTGGGAACGTTGGGCGGAAAGCAAACGGCTGACTGGATCTCCTCTCAAACCCAGCAACTCCATCAAGGGGAAAGAGACTCCTCCTGCTGCCACTGGGGTCAGCACGTGGCCACGCAGGGGCCACCTGACCCATAATGCACCAGCACAACCGTCGGGGCCACAGCTTCCCTCTCTGCCGCATTCGCTGCATCAGCCCACAACCAGGGGGGAAGAGGAGGTCCACCCTCCCTCGAGGACAGACTTCACCAGCAGGCGTGCCCCCTCTCAGACGAGAGCTTTGCCCCACCCAGCAGGCACAAGACCCCACAGGCAGTTCTGGTCACTGATCTGCCTTTGCTCCTCCCCAAGATCCAGCTCTGCAGCTAGGGCAGCACCCCAGACAGAGCTCCCCGAAGGAACCACAGGTGCAGCACCCAAGGCCCTGGAAAAATGCAGTCCCCCACTATTAAGTGTAGTCATGTATGGCTGCGAGAGTTGGACCATAAGGAAGGCCGAGCGCAGAAGAATAGATGCTTTCAAATTATGGTGCTGGAGAAGACTTGAGAGTCCCCCGGACTGCAAGGAGATCAAATCAGTCAGTCCTAAAAGAAATCAACCCCGACTGTTCCCTGGAAGATACTGAAGCTGAAGCTCAAATACTTTGGCCACCCAATGAGAAGGGAGCACTCACTGGAGAAGACCCTGATGCTGGGGAAGACTGAACGTCAAAGAAGGGGACGGCAAAGGATGAGATGGTTAGACAGTGTTATCAAGGCAACGAACATGAAATTAAGCAGACTCTGGAGCACAACGGAAGACAGGAGGGCCTGGCGTGATGTGGCCCATCATGGGGTCATGAAGAGTTGGACTTGACTGTGCGACTGAACAACAACAACTATTAAGTGAGACAACACAGGTCTCGTACATCAGCGTTTCCCAGCCTGCAGGCCCTGAACCAAAAGTGGGCTGCAAGGCTCATGAAAGATGGGCCAGGCTCTTATATTTCCTTCACCTGTGCAAGCTCTGTTTCATTTCTTAAGTGGGTCACCATACCAAGTACATTTGGACGTGACTTATCAAGCCCAAAAGGCGGGGAAACCACTGCCATAAGCGGAAAAAAAACCCCACTCCACCGGGCATCGCTGCCCTTTCTGCTCAAAGCAGGCCCTTGCCTGGCGCTCCCACGGCACCCCTGGATACGATGCAGATACGCACACACAAGAACACACAGGAAGCTGCTTTATACTGAATGAGACCCTTCGGTCCGTCATGGACAGTCTTGTCTACTCTGACTGGCAGCCGCTCTCTCTCCAGGGTCTCAAGCAAAGAGGTCGTTCCCGCCACCTCCTGCCTGGTCCTTTCAGCTGGAGATGTCGGGGATTGAACCGGGGGCCTTCTGCGTGCAAAGCAGAGGCTCTGCCACTCAGCCACAGGGTTCACACATGAAGTTGCCTTGTAGTATCAGACCTCCTGGTTCATCGAGGTCAGTATCGTCTACTCAGGCTGGCAGCGGCTTTCCAGACTCTCAGGCTGGTGAAGGCCTTTCACGTCATCTCCTACCCGGGGCCTCCTGCAAGCCAAGCAGAGGCTCTGCCAATGAGCCACAGGCTGGCGGGGGGGGGGACACCAGGGCCTCAGGGAGGCACCGCTGCGAAGGGCCACAAACCTGTTATAGTCGCGTGTCACCAGCAGCAGGTTCTCGCGCAGGTTGCGCAAATCCTCCCTCCTGTCGTACAGCTCGACCACGTAGTGGGGGATCTCGAAAAGCAACCTGTCCCAATAGTGGATCTCCACAAACAACCTGAGCACGTGCCTGGAAAGAGAGGAAGCCCGGGGGCAGCGTGAGAGAGCGGCAGCTAGCCGTAGCCGCCCAGCCGGCTCTGGGGGGTGGGGGGGCTGCTTACTTGTCAAAATTGATGTCCAGCATCCCCGGCTTCTCGGTGCTGAGGACGAGGAGGGGCGTGTCCAGGCGCTTCAGGCAGTCCTTGTCCAGGGTCTGGGTCCATTCGTGGAAGGTCCTCCTCTCGATCTCGTCCATGGCCTGCACCAGCAGCTGGTAGGACTGGAAGCTCTCCTCTCCGGTCCCGATGTGGGGGATGAAGTGGGCACTGGTGAGACACTGTCAAAGGGGAGATTTTCAAAGGGTAGCCGTGACGGTCTGCTGTGGGACCCCTGGATTCGAGTCCAGCAGCACCTCAGAGACCAGCAAGATTTTTTGGGGGAGGGGAAGGAGAGGAGGAGGAGGAGATTGGATTTATACCCCGCCCTTCACTACCTGAAGGAGTCTCAGAGCAGCTTACAATCTTACAAGCCAGTTTGGTGTAGTGGTTAAGTGCGTGGACTCTAATCTGGGAGAACCAGGCTTGATTCCCCACTCCTCCACATGCAGCTGCTGGTGTGACCTTGGGTCAGTTACAAGAACTTTCAGAGCTGTTCTCTCACCAGCAGTTCTCAAAAGAGCTCTCTCAGCCAATGTTCCCTCTAAGCTGTGGAGTCTTGTGAGCAAAAATCCTACTTTGTGAGCTATTGGCATTAAAGTTGTGAGCAGATTTGGCTGCTGCATAAATTAGTTTGCTCTGGAGCCCTCCTTCCTGAGGCTAAAACAAAAA